ACGTAGAAGAACACATATACTCTTAATAAAACGAGATAAATATTAAAATATGATTTACGTTGCATGAGGAATAGCTTTTGATATAGTTCGTTCAAATGATTTCATAGTTTGTCCTTTTTCTTTATGATTTGCCAACCAATCACCACTATTAGGTTTCGGTACTGGTTGAAAACTTTCATTAAGTTTATTTGTTACAGCCATTTGCATATCTCTTGATAACTAAAGCAAGAATCAACTGTGTCAGAGAAGAGTAAATTGTCTATATACTAAACCTTTGAAATGTCACCAAGCGCTTCAACTATACGTTTAGCATCGGGAGGAATAAAACTCATACCTATTGTAATACGTAATATCGATAAAAAATTAATGAATATAATAGCACCGAATACGAATAGAATAAGAAATTTACGAAACTTTGTCATTTAAATAGAACGCCATGAGTCAAGAGATCAATTATGAGTAATTTTTTATATAATTCTGCCAATCCAAGTCATTTTATTTAAGTTGACTATGAATGTTTTTCATATAAAGCATGGCAGTACGAGAGCGATCTCTAGCGAAAAACGTCATCTTTGAAAATTTCTTATGAATAATAATCTGTAAAAAGATCTCTACCAAACCAGTACTTAAAGTTTTAGATTACTTCTCATTCATTTGATTCTTTATATCATAACTACGCGATAATAAATTAGACTTAAACATTTGGCTCAGTTACTCGGAGAACATAAGTATATATTTGAAAGAATAAAAATAATAATTGATCTTGCTTTTCGAGTATTAGTGTGAGCGAAAGACCTATAGCTACACATCCTGGTAGGGAAAATCAACACGTTCCTCCTAATATATTGAAAACTATTTGTCACTTGAAAAAATACGGTTAACCATGTGTAGATCATGGTCTGTCAGATAAAATTGTATCTATGTGTATTCAAACGATATGAACGTTGTTTTATTTTTCATTTCTTTAAACTCTCTGAAACTTTATCTATGGAGACTTCGATATATTTTGTCTATGATAACAAGATGTAATAATACATTTGATCTACATATTACAGATTACACTTTATATCATGTTTTAGATTCCTATCAGAAACACTGAAATGCATCAATAGAAACATGTTCAATGCTGATTTAATTTTGCTATTTCAATTTTCTCGATTTCTATATCTGTCTTAACTTTAATTTCTACTTCATTCAAGTGGAATATTGGTTATGTATAGAGCAAAGACTTTCTCATCAGGTTTGATAAATTCAAGACTTCGAAAACTTGAGATTTTTTCCAATGATGAAGGAGAAATATTAGGAAGTTTTAATTGAAAGTCTTGGTGATAATAAAGCATGAGATAGCCTATCTTTTAGAAAAGCAAAATAGTTACTACTGAAAACATTTTCGTAGAATTTTCGTACTATAGTCCGTCCAAAAAGTCCGTGCGTGTGACTGTTTGTTGAATAACTCAAGAACACAAACAGCTAGAGACCTACGATTTTCATCAGTCGAAGGAGGTGATACGGGGACGTCTTTTTCTCCGATATTGTATAAGACGAAGACATTATAAAGTCAACCCTTTTTACAAAACATCGAAAAAATGTACGAAAATATTCTGTTGTTGAGATGAAATTTTTAAAAAAAAGTAAGAAAATTCAAGAGAAATTCGTATTTTTCTAGGGAGCAAATAGAAAATTGTATTTGCTTAATATTAGAAGATGTGAAGATAATCATTTAAATTATATCTTTAGTTATAGATCTGAAGTCCTTCTATCCAGATCACATATTAAAACCAAAATCTCATCGAAATAATAGACCGTTATCAAGCATATTTTCCAATGTTTTAAGGAAATTATTGATTTTAAAATGAATTCGTCTTAAACAATATCGGAGAAAAAGGTGTTCCCATACCACCTCCTTCGACTGATGAAAACCGCACATCTCTAGCTGTTTGCGTTCTTGAGTTATTCAACAAACAGTCATACGTACGGACTTTTTAACAGACTATAGGTGAACGGTAAGAATGTTGGTCTCACTTGAACAAAAAGACAAAGAAATAATCGTATGCAATTGTGTTAATCTTTGTTTTTAAAAAACCAAAGGAATTTACCATCATCTTGTATTGGTCACTGTTTCCATTAGGGACTTCCATCTCAGGAATCTGATGCTTTTCATATATTCTCGATTCTTTTTTTATTGCATACTTTAATAGGCCAGAATGTCTACTTTCTAAATGTGTTTATCTTTCTGGTAAATCAATCTCTTTTCTTCATCATTTACGAAGTTCTATTCAATATAATATGGTATTGACAAAGCGCTGGAAAAGTTTATCTTATTATTATAATCGTGGAATTGACTGACAAATAAATCCATTTTACATATTCATGGCATCTACAGCAGACTCTCAGCACTACTTTGTATATTAATCACCTCACAAACAATGCTATTCATTTTGTTTCAACATTATAAGTTGATCAATTATGAAAAAACCCTTTAGAAAGTCTAACATCTGTTTTTCTCGATTGTGGAAGAATCCGACGAGAGTGACCATAAATTAGTTCCAATGCAAAGACTATAGAGTGTTTTGTTTGACATTGATTAAAGTTATATTTGGCAAATTTATATGGTCAACTTGCTTGATTCATTTTGAACAAAAAGGTCGACTAAATATAGATGCAAAGCCATGCAGATCATTAAAAGAAACAAGTGCGGAATGAAGCGAAATTGCTTTTAACTTTTATGAGTTTTTGACAAAACAGCCATTCGAAGGACAATCTTGTTTATGTAAGCTAACGTAACATTAATCGTCTCCATTAATGTCTCTAGTAATGGTTTGTCAGTTATAGTTGCTAAACAGAGAAATAACATAATGCTTTACATGTTTCTTTTATCTTTGGTATGGTGGAAAAAGGCAGAAAGGAAAAATATCGAAAGGGAAAAATGTCGAAAATAAAAATATCGAAAACAAAAATATTACAAATGTAGATGAATAGAAATGCTGAAAAAGAGAGTATGTTGGAGTAGAAATCTTTCTTACCCCCACCTCCAATCTTACATGTTCATTTTCACCTCATATTCTTGTTTTCGACATTTTTATTTTCGATATTTTTCCTTTCTGCCTTTTTCCATTCATTCTTATCTTTTTACTTAAGTTTGATCATATTTCAACGTTAGTATTATGTCAAAAATAACGTCTTGTTACTTGAAGTTTTCGACATTTTTTCTTTCAGTCTTTCTATAGCACCTCAAAATTACTTGTTCTCTTTCCTTATCAAACAAATTCCACCCTTGTCATTTTCTCTTATATTCTCACCTATTTGCCTATCCTCTGGCGTTAGAATCACTGATCAACGAGTATGTGTGTTTATCTCTACTATCTTCTGTCTTTCTTTGTCCAAATTCATAGTTATTATTTCGAGAAGCTTCAGCAGAAAAGTCCTTTTGTCGTTATATTATAGTGTATCGAGTTCTCTTGATAATGTATCGCTTTTTTTGAAAAAATAAAAACCCTAATGTATACTAAAACCGTGTATCAAAATATTGCGTATTCTTCTCCAAACTGGCTTTTGACGAAAAAAATGCTGAATAGCCTCCATTCTTGAATACATGACGTTTAGTTGAGCTGCATTTTTTAGAGTAGTATTATAGGTTGTTTAGGATGATTCATCAGTAGTGCGTACTGTTTTGCTTCTGAAGAAATATCACTATCGTAGTTTCTAGCAGATTTTCTGAGATCGAGTGACGTAAAAAAATTAGAAAACACTATTCTAAATAGTGTCAGATGTCTGTGTTTAAAGTTATAGAAACTTCAGCATCATATAAATTCTATTTCGTTAGACAAGATCTATCGATCTTGGGAAGTTTAGAGCTTTTCATTGAACTATTAATAATAATAGTAATGTAACGAGAAAAATATGTGTAGAAGAAGCTAAGAAAGGCGAAAACGTTCCAGTTCAATCACTTTCTCGACATTCAAGAATTATTTTCCCGATTTTTTAGCTACATCTACCCCAATTAAGACGAAAAAGTGATTCAATTTGAGTAGAATTAACTAAAAGCTTGTGGCACTTATCTTTAAAAATGTCCACAAAGTAGCTTGAAATATTTTAAAGAAGCATGAAATTATGATTTCTTCTCTTGACAGTCTAAACATATCTGTAAAAGAGGCCAAGATTGGAATACTGAACGAGTACAATTTTTCATATTCGAACCTTGAGTGAATCGAACACTTAAGGATTTAATTTGCGTCTAGTTGTTTCGAAGAACCTGCTCGTTTCCCTTTCGTATTCTTATAATTTTTTTAAAAATAATTTTCTTTCTTTTCCTTAGGAGTGATCATGTTCAGAACAGTTTTTTTTTAACGAAAATGGCCAGGTTTTAGTTATGGTTATAAAAAACTCGTGAATCAATATTTCTCTTAAATAAATCACATGATTACTTGTTCACAAGTAATTAATGCGAACTGAGAATCTTTTTCATGAATCTTCAAGGGAAGCGACCTTATTAATTTCGTTTGAATTTTTTGATATCCCCAAGGACGTTTTTTAGTTTTAAGTGAACTTTCGAACTTTTCAATACACTTTTACCGTAAAAAATTCCCTTGCCATCTTATGCGTTCTTCTCAGTGAAAAACTGCGATTACTTTGTTGATTCAAACATCGTCATCATCCATACAAACACTCAGAAGTTTTATTTTTATTTTCATTTCTAAATCCTACATTTTAAAATCTAGAAAGAATAACAGTTTGGAAAATTTTGAAATGTTGTGAAACATTGTTGTGTGAATCACTACCGAGTAGGACATGGATCTAGATGGTTTTTAGGAAGAAAGAGAAGGAATGAGCTCCACTAGTCTTCATCTGGTTACGCTACTACTTGAGAGACCTGAGAAAGGAGTGCGCCATTAACTATTTCAATCCTTTCTTCTGATACTGCTTTTCAATTCTTCTTCGTATATTGGGATCTCATTTTTCGCTTTGATACTTCAGATGTTGTTTTTGCTTCGTTGATTGATATGTATTCATCAACTCGAGTTGTAATTTGTGGAGCAGGTCCTTCTGGTCTTAGTCAATTGCATGCATTTGAATCCGCTCGACAACGTGGCATTCAAATACCTGAAATAGTATGTTTCGAAAAACAAAATGATCTTGGTGGTCAATGGAATTCTACATGGAGAACAGGATTCGATGAATATTCTGAACCTATTCATAGTAGTATGTATCCAAATTTATGGATAAATCTACCGAAAGAATGTACAGAATTTGTTGATTATTCATTTGACAAACATTTTGGTCAATCATTTACATCATTTCCACCTCGAACTGTTATGTATGATTATATTCGTGGATATGCAAAACAAAATAATGTTCGTCAATATATTCAATTTAATACAGTTGTTCGATGGATTTCTTATTCGAAAGATACGAAACGATTCAATGTACTTGTGAAAGATTTGTGTAAAGATAAAACACGATCTGAAGAATTCGATTATGTTATTGTAGCTACTGGACATTTTTCCATGCCTAATATACCCCATTTCGATGGAATAGAAACCTTTCATGGTCGGATATTACATTCGCATGATTTTCGTTCAGCTCAAGAGTTTCGTGATAAAAATGTGCTGCTGATTGGTAACGGTAATTCAGCCATCGACATTGCCTTACAATTATACAAATACGGAGCTAAATCGATAACGCTTTCCTATCGAACTAAAGCTACGAATTTCAAATGGCCTGATGAAATTAAAGAAGTCCCATTACTTGTTAAGATTGATAGAGATATAATCTATTTTAAAGATGATTCATTTCAAAAATTTCAGGCAATTATTTATTGTACTGGATATTTACACTATTTTTCATTTCTTGATGATGATCTTCGTTTGAATACAACGAATTTTATTTATCCATCGAATTTATACAAGGCAATATTTTGGTTAAATCAACCTCGTTTACTCTATTTGGGTATCCAACGTCTAACATTTAGTTTTAATATCGGAAATGTTCAAGCATGGTATGCTCGTGATGTAATTCTTGGAAAAATTAATTTACCTTCGACAAAAGAAGAAATGCAAGCTGATATAGTCCTATGGGAAAACAAAGGGAAAAAAGTGCAAAATTTTAGTGATTATATTCATTTTCAAAAAGAATATATTCTGAATTTGATCGAGACGACTGATTATCCACGTTTTGATATTCATCGAATGGTAGAAATATTACTCGAAAATGTTAAATCAAAATTTGAAAATATACTTACATATAGAGAAAAAACATATGCTTCAACATTTACAAACACAATGGCAAAACAACATCACACACCTTGGTTGAATGAAATGGATGACAGACTAGAAAACTTTATCCGAAAACAAATTTCTTTTATCGAAAATATATGGTAAATAGAGTCCTCACGAAATCTGTTAAGTCTTTGATTACTAGTTTCAATTCAAAAAAATCTAGTACTCGGCTAATTTAGTCTACGTTTTCATTGTTCTCTCTTTCTGTAAACAATTGCATAGATCAAAGTGAGATTATTGAAAAATCGGACAAAGTCAGGGTGCAGCATATGGAGGTCGACGTTGATCTCGAACACGTGATACTTGTTCGAATCCGTGCGCGATACGTAGTAGCATCGGTTCAGACCAAGATGTACCAGCGATAATTAAACCAAAAGGTTGACCATTCAGTTGCTTGTATCCCATTGGAACACTAATCAGAGGATAGCCAGCTGCTGATGCCATCATCACCAGTGCATACAAAGTATCCGCCACAATGAGCGCATCTAAGTCATATTGTTTCAAACTGAAAAACATGATCAAACTGATAATAGAATTTTTTCAGGAAAAACACTTTACGTTTTATCGATGCCCAATTCTCCACCCCATTGTCGAGTTTTATTGAGCAAATGTTTTTGATCAACTGATGATAACTTTGTTTGATTAAGACAAATCTCAAAATTACGTTGATCCGAAGCAAATTCAGGATGAAATTCTTGATCTGTATGATTCAAATTGAACTCTATTATATCCATTAGAGATCGTATAGATGTATTAGTTAGTTGATCCAGATAGTTGTGTATATCTTCTTGAAAAGTGTCTCGAAAAAGGAACCAGAGATCGTTGAACATTTGGCCATGATCTAATCCAGTGATATTCACCGGATCGATGATAATTGCACCGTGTGCACGAATCAGCTCAATTGAATGATTCACCACATCATTCAATTCATCGGACATGTTCGTGTCTGAACGGAGTTTTGTTTTCTCCATTTCACATAGATGAGGAACAGTTCATACTTACTGTGTCGCAAGACACCTAATCGTAGACCTCGTAATCCTTTGACCCCACGCAAAAATTGTGTATAATTCTGCGAACGAACGGCTTCGTTTTGCTGTGTGAAATCATCTCGTTCATCGATACCTTGCATGACTTCTAGTAACCAAAGAAAGAACAAAAAGCAAAATACTTTAGGTGAAATCCATTTTAGTAATTTCACCAAGCAGAATGGCAACATCTTCGACTGTTCGACACATTGGTCCGATCGAATCGTGATAGCGTGAAATAGGGATCACGCCTGAACGAGATACGAGACCAACTGTCGGTTTGAGACCAACAATATTTGCAACACTCGATGGCGCAACAATGCTACCAGCTGTCTCTGTTCCGATTGCTGCAGCACATAATCCCGTGGCGGCAGCAACTGCTGAACCACTACTACTGCCCGACGGATCACCATTAGCAACATATGCTGAACTATGAACACATAAATATATCAGTTCGTTAAGTCTTACTGAATAATGTGAGCCTAATCGCAATTTTACCTAGTTGGTCCACCTCTTGGTGACCATCCATTTCTCGATTGATTCTGAGATCGAAAACTCGACCATTCAGAAAGCGATGCTTTGCCCAAAATGATAGCACCTGCTTGCCGTAATCGACGAACAACATGAGCATCCCGACCTAGTCGAGATCCTACAAGAGCAAGACTGCCGGCTGTTGTTTGCATCTGATCGTCAGTGACCACATTATCCTTAACCAAAATAGGAATTCCGTGAAGTGGCGACCTAGCACCAGTAGTGTGTCGCTCTCGATCAAGAGCTTCGGCAATCACTAAAGCATCTGGATTAGTTTCAATAACAGCAAATAGCGGATGAGGACCTTTTCTATTGACAGCATCGATACGAGCAAAATACCAACGAACGAGATCAGTCGATGAATAGCGACAATTGTACAAGTCTTGAGCAAGAGAAGATATACTCACCATGAGAAGGTCCACAGAAGAATTGTGAGAATGAATTGAGCATGAAACAGAATCATCAACATTATCCGATAATGTGATCAAGTTTACGGGAACTGAAGAAAAAAACACAAGAATTACATTCTTCAACTATATTTCTGCTACGTTCTTACTCTGTTTTATATTGTTCTTGTTCATAAACCACATGAGAAATGCGAGAAGAGAAACTACAACTGTGAATATGATGAATAATTTGAAGCAATGTCTTTGCCAACGTGTATTCTTGCGGATTAATACATTGCAATTCATGTCGACGCTCACAGCTTCGATTTGAATCGATATCTCTGATTGGGCCATGACTAATGCTTAACATTTTGAACATGTGAGTGGTTCTTTTTGTTTATAAATGATTGTACTTTACCCCACTGTTGCCTGTCATTCAGATGCAAAGTAGATTCAAAATTGTCGTCTCTTCGCTTTGTTTTCAACCGATGATATATATATACGCACATGTTCGTTCCTTGTCTCTAGAACGAAGCATTTCTCTTCATATATATTTGTAAATCCTTCCTATTAGATTGGCTAAAACTTGAAGTTGAATTGATCGGGTTCACCAAAGCTGCGCCATCAAATTTAGGAAGCAGGGAGGGACGAAAAATTTGAGCTTTTGATTATACAACATGTATATACGCGTTTCGATCTCCACTTATGATGCCATTGAAAAGATTTCTTCATAAAACATCTGTAATGACCTTTGGTATTCTCATGTTGCCTTATTCATAACAGCATCATATGCGTGAATGTAAGTGTGAGACTTCTTCAGTACCTTACCTACACCCACATCCTCAAGTGGAAACAGTGATTGGGACGATTAAACGATTTTTCGTAAGATATTGTCTGTTGGAGGATGTTCGTGTAGGTACGTGGGTTAAGATACCGGTTATTGTACACAAAAGACCTGCACGCACACGCACCCAAATAGGTAAATGAACAAATTTTGGCTTGTGACTGGGTAGTGGATGAAGAGAAAAGCATTTTACTCGCCCTCAACTGACAGACCTACTCTCTGTCTCAAACAGCTTTTTGAAGTCTTTTTTTCTAGATTTTAGGACAATAGATGCCATTCAATTACATGTCTATGGTCACAATCTAACGAAGTATACTAAATTAAAATGGGCCTGTGAAATTCTAGTGTAGCTAGAGTAGAAACAATATACTTTATATTATTTGAAGATTAAATTGTTTCTTACTGCTGATTGACGTGCAGAAAAAGCAACAATAGTGTTTGTCTTTGCCTCTGCACAATTTGTATAGATGAAGCAACGAATACATTGTTTTTCACTTTTCGATGCATCTAGAAACTTCTGTTTACTTTTTCCTTCTATGTTTTGAGCGCAGAAATGCAGAGCAGATGAATCTTGAAGTTGTCACAAATACTCATGCGATGACAGCGAGCATAAATAACGTTGCACATCTACGCAATTAAAATGTTGACGTTATTGAAAAAGTTACTGTTACAAAGAGACATTTGCGTAGGTGAAGAGAAACAGAACTCTCTTTCTCGCTTACCCGCCCACATTCTTACTCCTATTTTGGATGTCAGTGAAAAGTTCAAGACATTGACTACGGGTTTTTGAATAATGTAAATCTGTTGCAGAAGTTTTATTGAGGACCACAAGAAAAGAGGAAGACCAATTTCATCGTACTGTCAATTCAATCATTCTTAAACAAATAGATATCCATCCGAAAAGTATTGACATAAATGGAATGTAAAAAAAACAAAGATCAGCGAGTTGAAACTCAATGTTCTAGAGAATCGTAGTATTTGATTTTCTATACAGTTCAAGACGGGTGAGGCGGTGACTATAGATTTTCTTTTTAACCACACATACATTCTGACTTCATACTACCAATTTATCAATATAATCATTTTTGAGTATTGATAAGAAGAAATGTAAATAACAACTTATCCTCATGAAACTTGTATTTACACTTACTCCTTGATACTGAACACGAATATAAAATTGAATTTGAATTGACAAGAAACAAAAATCATTTACTCTTGATTCATGAATGTAAAAGCATAATTCGATTGGTAACTATCTATACTGTCATAAAAAAAACAGCTAAAAACGCTAAACGATAATGAGATATCAATAGATCGATCTATTCAACAGCTATTAATTGGTATAGATAAGTCTTCATACACTACATACTACCTATTCTCTATAGATCATAAATGTCGGTGAACATCTATAAGATTTACCATTATAAAAATAATCGATATTCAGCATATCTTTGAACGACCATCAAATCGATTTGGTTGAATATTTTTTTGAATTAAACAAGTCATAGTTCAATATCATAGATTGATGCTAGAACATGAATAGATTACTGCCTTAAATCGGACGCTAGTTATGCCTGATAATAAATTATGGTATGAGGAATCATAAATGATTGAGCTTTTTATTCAGCATCGAATGATAAACAAGCTTTAAAAAGATTAGAAGTGCACTAATTTTACGTCTTTTTCATTTACTCTTTACAGAGGAGTGTCGGTGTAATTGACAGGATGCTGCTTTATTCAAACTAGTTTTCATTTCGTATTGATAAGTTTAATAATAATTGACTATTGAAAATAATATTCATATTTATTGATAATATTCACTGTTTAAATGTATACATATAATACTCACAACTATTATAATTTATATTAAATAATACACAACAACAATAAAATAAAACAAGTATACAACAATTAATATAACTGAAAATACACAATATTTTTTTTTCGTGATTGATTTCTTTTTTTCTTCACTCGGTATTATTTTCATGATGAATTTCAGCTTTTAAACGATCTGTTAAGTCATCAATCTTATTTTCATTTAAACCAGTTCGTTCATCAACATCTCGGGATGCTGCTGCATTGTTGAAAACATGTTGATATTCATCATCATTATGTAATGCCCATGGTTGTAATTCACCACCAGCAAAAAATGTATAAAACATTAAAACTAATATACAAATCATTATGGAAATCATAAACATTCCATTCCATTCACGTTTTAACTAAAGTTTATTTATGACAGAGAAATTTCATGTTGAAATAAGAAAATCTTACTTGTGTATCAGAAACGATGTAACCTGTTATAGTCGGCACAAGAATTCCTGGTACTGATCCAAAACTATTTGATAAACCCATTAGAATTCCAGCATAGTGTGCTCCAATATCCAGATGATTAACACCAAAACTAGCCCAAGCAGGACCACAGCCGGCAGTCGCAATTACAATACCTGTTATAATTAAGGCTCGGTGTTTTGCTTGTAATAAAGTAACAAGAAGTAAAGCCAATACAGTTATAATAAAAGCTAAATACAACGAATTTAGTCAGAAATAATTCTAAATAATATTTATCTTCTTACATATAGCCATAACTAATTTTCGTATATATAATGTTGAATATTTTTCTGTTAATCTATCGGAGAGAAAACCTGATGCATAGATTGATATTGCCAATGGTAACCAAGGTATAGCTGCTAATAAACCGGCCTATGAAAAAAGAAAAGATAATGGAACAAAAAATTGCTTTTTTGACAAACCGTGTCAACTCGAAAACTAAGTGCTTGAGTGATAAATGTTGGCAATTCAGTAAGCATTAAATAGATACACCAATTAGTTCCAAAATGTGCAGCAATAATAGCCCATACAGGCAATGATGTTAATATATCTTTCCATGGAATCGGATATGTCTAATAAATTCAACTAAATAAAATTTTTATTTGTTAAAAACTTAATTTTACTGGTGAAATAGCTTGAACTAGATTCTCTTGAATATATGTTGCTTCTTCATCTGATATAGTCGGATGAGTTGATGGCGATTCAGTAGTTATGTAGAACCAAGCTATTGTCCATGCAAGACCAATTACTCCTAAATTATATATAAAATTTTCATTTTCTATACCAAATATATTTACCTGATAAATAAAATATCCATTCCCATGACCAATGAACAGCAATAAGTCCACCAAACATCATTGTTATAAATATACCAGTATAACTTCCTTTAAAAAATTTTATACATAGAAACATTTTTATTTTTCATTTATACATACCAGCAAATGCAAATGTTGCCAATTTTGATTTATCATTTTTTGGTGCCCATTTTGACCATATAGAATGAAGTGATGGATATATAAAACCCTTCCGATCAAAAGAAAAAAAAAATGAAACATTTCATTTGATTTTATTTTTTTCAAAACTACTTACTGAACTAAAACCTTGAAAAACTCGAAGAATAATCAATGCTACTGATCCAGCTTGAGCACATAATGGTGTAAATAAAGCTAATAATGCACATAAACCAATACTACCACCAAATAAAATTCGTCCACCGAATTTCGTTGCTAAAAATCCAGCTGGTATTTGAAGAGCAGTATAACTATAGAAGAATGAGGAAAGAATATAACCTTGTGTTTTTGTACTCCAATGATACGTAGGCTAAATTTTATTTCGACAACAAAAAAAAAACACAAAATCATACAGATTTAAATAAAATAAAAAAATAGTAACTTTACGGGTATTATTTTGATTGTATTATTTGGTAATTTTTCAGTGGTTGGATTAACCATTGAAACAATTGCAATCGATAGATTCGATCGTAAAATAAAACCATTAAAAAATCCAAAAAATGCAAGTAAACTAAGTACATAACGTTTTGGAATTTTATGATGAAGATTCCACAGAGTCATGGTTGTTATGTTTTTCTTTTTGATTTTTCTCTACGATATACAGGAAAAAGAATTATTAATCATTTTTTTTTAAGGTATATATTTGAAAAAAAAACAACGTTATACAAAAGAAAAGTAACCCTCTCTGCATGACTAATAGCAACGCATTCGTGCGACCACACTGTCTTGTTTTGAGCGTGTGTTAATGAAAAAATTACATTTTTTTTTTCTTGCTTGTCACTCTACGTTCTTATTTTCTTTTTGTCGAGAGAAAAAAAAAAGCATTACATTGTGAGAACCGACACACTAGTTACAAGTTACCAATCAACTATTGAGCCTCTTAGAACCATTCTATTTTTGCTGAAAACATCTACTATTCTCTTTTTTTTCCTGTTCGTTTAGTTAGTCGATTCATTCGTTCGGATGAAATGATGTAGAAGAACAGAAAAAAGAAAAAAAAACTTCATCGAGTCTCTCATCATATTCTACTTATATTCATCTTCACCACAAGTAAATACATCTTAGTTTTTCTTTTTGCATACATTCCAAGTAAGGAAAAACAAGATTTATATATACCTAAATCATTACAGTAGATTGTTTGATGTAAATCAGTAATAATAAAATATTACCGATTGTTTTCTATAAGAAGAAAAACAATCATTTTTATGAAATTCTTTGCTTAGTTTTTTCTTTTTTTTAATCATTTTAATAATTTATAATTTTAACAAAATGTAAATATACATGTAACAAAAAACAACGATAAATAATTTTAAAAAAAAAAAACAAACAAACAGAAAACAAATGTTTATAGAAATAATGGAGATGTTATTTAAATATATATATTTGACAGGTATTTGTGGAGAAATCGAAAATTATCAGAACAAAAAGAAAAACATAATAATCATTCTTTTATCGTCTCATTGGTCGTTTAGATTCATTCTCATGCAAACTTGATCTAGAACGTTTGAGATTTGAACGATCTCGATATGATGATGATGAACAATAATCATTATCATAATGATCAGATGACTTATTTGAAACTGTTTGACGATAATCCATTGATGTTGTCATTCCATAATCTCTTGCTCGATAATCAATTTCTCTTATAGATGAAAATGGTTGTGTATACAGATCATGAATCATAGAAGCAGAAGAAGAAGATAATGTTGGAAGTGATGATGGTGATGACATTTGAGTGGTTGATGAAATTCGATAGGAATCCGAACGATGAATAGATGATGGTGTAGATGTCATTGAATGATAAGTTCGTGATGAACCATTTCGATTTGCTATAAATAGAAATGAATGCATGAATAAATTAATTCTTCACATAAAAGATTGCTTTTTTTTTTAATGAGATTATCATCACATAAAAACCAATCAGTACAAATCATATCTTTATAATGTTAATTAGGTCATGCTGACCGAAATAAAAAGAAAAAAAGCTTCTGTTTAATGAAAAAGACAAAATGAATCATTTATTACTGTGAAATAAATATAAACAACAGCTGTGCGAACAGCAGGAATTAATAGCAACAGATTCGTTCGATGCTACTTACATTCTATATCATAGTGCTGAGAACGATTGTTATAATCATTTGGTCGATACATATCATTGTATGAATCAACAGTACTACGTGTAGATAAAGGTGCTAATACTGGCGGTGTTGGAGATCGATATTCATTACGAATATATAAATCATTGTTATTATTATTTCGAGATATACAATCATTTCTATAAGAAGGCAAGGATGGTGATGAATGATAATTGTCTCGTCTAAATGAATCTTTCAATAGATTATTATTTATTTATTTAAAATAGAAAAATCTACCGATAAGCTGAAGATAATGATGGTGAATATCGATTTCGTTCTGAATCAATATAATGTGATGGTAAATCTCTATCAGGCATAGATTGTGAAGACTTATAATAGAGAGCATCTGGATGTTGACGATCAGAAACAATTGGTTGATCAATTGATAATGGTGAATATATATCAGGACTGTTCGTTTGACGATTAAATCGAGATGATACATGATTATCGTAATAATTCGATTGATTATTATCTTTTCGATTTAATGATGGTGAAGATGTACAACTTTCATAACGATTATGATGAGATTTTAATGAAATATGTGATGAATAATTTCCATTACTACGAGACTGATGATCATCATGACTGTACAAACCCAAACACAAAAAAAAAAAGAAATAGCCAAATTTTCAAGAATTTATTGATCATTTTCCTTACCGATAATTTCTTCTTTTTAATCGATCATCATATTTTCTTCTATGATGAGAACTATATCCATTCTGCGAAAGTTCTTTATTAACACGCATCTAACCAGTAATAAATCGACTATGATTATAACAAATGGTGCTTATATGTATATATATATATATATGCGTATATCGGGAACAGATGTGGAAGAGTAAAAATGTAGAAGATAATCTATGTGTTCTGTTCGCTCTATATCATCAGAGGAAAAAAGAAAAAAAGAAAAAGAAAAGAGTCTTGATGATCGTTATTTATATATGTTAACAGAAACAAAGATAATGATTTACTTTGTCGATAAAAAAAACTGAAAGGTCAAACATACATAATGGAGACATGTATAATCAATATAAGAAAGAAATGATAACAGATTTGGAAATATCTTATTTGACAAGATTAGAAATATAATTTGATACTTTTCATCATCAATAATAAATTAACAAATAATCTTTATTTAAGATAATCTGAATGAAAAAATTCTGATACTTCTAACCATCTAAAAAAACAAATAACAATAAGAGTGAATGTGTTTTCTACACATGCCGTGCTCGAATGTTTTTCTTTTTTGATGTTTATATTTATATATATATATATATGTATATATTTTTCTTAGTAAAAGACAAGAAATACAAGATAGATAGATATGTAGCCAAAAAAAAAAACAAAGATCAAAAGAGAAGAGTAAATGTAACATTCTGTCAAAAAAGTATTTTCTATACCGATTTGTTGTTCATGATAAAAAAATCGATACACGAATATGTTTGGTTGTTTTTTTTTATTTACATGAAGGAAAGAACAAAAATTGATAATCTTAAGAGACATGATGGAAAATGAAAAGAATACGACACAAAACTATTTAAAAAAAAGAAAACAAAAAAGGAAAGAGAGAAGAAAAGGTCGTTCACGGTATACATATATATTTAAGCATAGATTTTCGCAATTGAATCTGCTCCAACACTAGTCATATATGGTTTTGAGGAATGAAATGCAACATCATGTATAGATTCATCATCTTTTTTTTGATGAACTGTTAATTCTTGTAGACAATTACGATTTTCTAAATTCCATAAACGTATTGAACGATCATGACTACCAGATAGAAGACAAGTTTGTTGAGGATCAATAGCTAATGATGTCACACTATCAAGATGAGCAACCATTGAATGAATCATACGACCTAAAAGATGAAGAGAAAAAAAAAAAAAAAAAAAAAAAAGAAATAATCGAATTTATTTTTATTTAAAAAAAATTTTCTTACCAGAATTACTATCAAAATATCGAATTTTTCTATCGTCATGAGCTGTAATAATAATTGGTTGACATGGATGACTTATCAAACGATTAATACGATAATTTTCATCACCTATTGATGAATGATCATTAACAAATTGTCTTACAATTTGTCCGGTTTCTGTATCATATATAAAAGTTTTTAATGAATCATAAGTAACAACAAATTGACTTGTATCTCGCATTAACCAATCAATAGATAATGGAATACCTTCATCTTCAAAAAAAAAATATAATAATCTTAATAATAAAAACAACGACAAAGAAGAATAATTACTATGAAATGTCGACTGTAATGGTTCATTTAAATTTGCATCCCATAATCGTATTGATCCGTCAGCGGAACATGATAATAATTTTTGACCGGATATAACTAATTGCCAGACAGCATCTGTATGACCATCTAATACTTTATATAACACATTGGAATCTTTAGAACGTAAATAAAAAGTTTTTTTTTTTAATAAAAGCAAAAAAAAAATAGAAATAGATTAATAAGATCTATACCATATGCATCATATGGATCAACTTCAGAATTTGGAATATTCCATACGGAGATAATTGAATCAAGACCACCACTATAAAATTGTTCTCCCGTTGGATTCATAGCCACACATAGGACAGGAGCACTATAGAAATTCATTTATTATTACATAAAGTATATCAAAAAGAAAAACTACTATGGAGGAAGGTATTTTAATTCTTAATAAGAAGCTTAAAGAAATTTTCTTTCTATATGATATGATAGTAAAAAACAATGTTCTACAATTCTATGATATTTGATCAGACTTCAATTAGCATTACGATAATACAATTTTGCTATAAGCTGGTGTTGATCATATGTGACAGTAATATTAGATCACATGTGTATCTTCTTTTTTTCTCATCTACTCTAATGTCTAGCCGTCAGTACATAATCGGATATAAAAAAAATGCATTTCCCTTTTGTGATCCTAGACTTAACTAACGAGGGAACGTCCCTAACTGATTCACTCTGTTTTCAATGATATTTTGTTCATATGTCGAGTACAGTATTCGAAGAAAAATCCTAAGAGGGTTTGGGCTGATGGAACTTCCTTCAAAGGTTATGATCATTTTACTGATTTTTCGGTCTAGTGAAAACTTGAACAGTGAAATTTCAATCTGAAATTTTGCTTATATGAAGCTCTTGTGGTCATTAGAACATTCTGAAAGTATCAATGGAAAAATATGTTTCCTTTTGGCGATATTGATTCTTCAACAATTGTCTCATAATCCGTAGTCCTGGAGAATTGACTTTTTTTTTAAATTGAACAAATCCAACAGGAAATTTTTTTTTTTCGTTTGAAACTTTTGAAGTGTTCTAATGATCACAAGAGCTTCATATAAGCAAAATTTCAGATTGAAATTTCACTATTCACATTTGTCACTATACACCTTGTACTAGGCCGAAAAATTAGTAAAATGATCATAACCTTTGAAAGAAGCCCGATCAGCCCAACCTCTCTTAGAGTTTTTCTTCGAATACTGTATCCGACATATGAACAAAATATCATTGAAAACGGTGTGGATCAGTTGGAGACTTTCCTTTGTAAGAAAAAATAATAAATTAGTAGTCATGGAAATCAATATATTATTTTTTAGTTTGAATCTTCTATCGGTTGCAAAAGAAGTATTATAACATTTTAATCTGACTACATAAATATCAGTTATTACTGTGAACATCATTTAATAAATTTGCAACTACGTTATATGCTGCGTGATTCTCATGTGTAAAACAATTTTAACGACAAAGTTTGTCAATATTCTTTTAATTTCACGATTTATTTTAGTTATTTTGTTGTATTATATCATCCTGAAAAAAGTTTCAAGATTTAAAAAAGCAACATAGACGACTGGGTACAGCTTTATCTTGGTAATTTTCATTATATCCTTTAGTTAGTTATTCTTTTTTTCAATATTTTAAATAAACTAGATGATATAGAGTGTATATAAAAGATGACATCTATCGTATCGACTTGATTTAATTTATGATTTTTTCTTCACTGAATTGAGCTCAAAACATAATTTACTTCTCCGAAAAAACTAATGTCTTGTACAACAGCAAAGAAATATAACAATAAGTTCATCAAACTTTTTATTTTATTAACTATTGAAAATAATCGTCTAGGTTATTCTCACACTTGATTGCACTCATTGAATCTATTTACCGAACGACTTTTCCTTTTTGATTCTTTTTTTTTTATTCAAAGAAATCATTAACTTGTTTACAGTATGATGCAATGAATTGGAATCGTTTTGATCATTTGAAGAGTTAATTAATTTTTTATGAAATTCTATCAAAATTGATTCTGATAAAAAAGCGGAACTAAGAAAAAAACAATTTTAAATATAAGATACGTCAATATCATTAGAGTACACAGTCAAATCTAACATCTGGTGTAAAGAAGAAAAAAAAGTATACAAAATTTCATTATGAGATAATAAAATTTGTTTGAAATCGTTAATTAAATATTTCATGTATGAACTTTTTTTTGAGACATTGTTCAAACCTTAAATTCTTTTTTGTTTCTATCTCTTGAAAATACTAATATCTAGGAAAGTAGACTATTACTTTACATGGTGCCACTATAAGAAAAAAAACAAAACAAATTAGATGAAACTACTTATAATATGTAAAAAATTTTCTATTCAGTTAAAAGTTTTTGTTCTATTACTATAAATTTTTCGACTATTATTTTGTAACATAACAATAATTTAGAAAAAGTTATTTCAACTCAAGAAAAATGACCTAACAAAAGTGTTAATCATCGACTAAATAAATCAAAACATTCGTATTCAAGAATTTCTTTGCGTATGTTTTGAATAGTTTTTTTCTTTAGACTAGGACGCATGATGAATCTAGGATACCGGGAAAGTATGAACAATCATAATTATAGAACATGTCGATTCATTTTTAAGCGTTTTTTTTTTTTTCATCAGAGAAAAAGCCAACAATATTTCGGAAGCATAGAGCGATTGTTCCACCGCCATTGATTGACAATAAAAAAAAACACTGAATCTCGTACATATCATAGAAAAAAATTGAGTATTGTTTTTACTATTAGATTATATAGAATGAAAGTTTACTTAAATTATTTCTAAGGAAATAATATTTCCGCAATTAGTTTTAGTATATTCTAAGTAACTTACGTATGACGTCGAAATGTATAGATTGGCTCAAGATCTTGTGTTGTTGATGTTGATCTATAGAAAAATAATTTTAATTAGTTTAAATAAAGACTTAACTATTTATATGCTTCTTTCTTTTTTACTTTCTTAGTACAGCTGATTTTTCAAGATTCCATAATTTAAGTGTACGATCTTCGGATCCTGTAATAACAACTGATTCTACTGGATGAAATGTAACACAACGTATTCCATCCAAATGACTAGAAATTATTTAAAATCATATTTTTAAATAAAAAAAAAATTCAAAGTTTCTTTCTTTTTTTTTAATACCTTCGTAAAACATATTTAATATTCCATGTTTTTCTAAAATCGGATGAATCATTTGTTGTTATCTAAATCAAAAAAAAGAAAATTATACTTATTATTTAAAATAAATTAATTTATTATACAACATCATCATGTAAATCATTATCATTTGAAACTGTCACACGTGCTAATTCATCAAGACCTTCAATAACATTTTCTCCAATAAAATTTTTACTATTTCGAAACATCATTGAATCAACTAAGAAACAAATATGTATATATTGAATTTTTTTTAAATTTTTATTTATACTTTGTTCAT